ACCTTGTGACAGACAATCAGGGAAGTGTTCAGGGAGCGCATCTCTTCTGCCTCCCAAAATCCAGCTTGCCACTCCTCAAATATGGATCAGAGCAGATGGAAACGCCTTTCCCCAAGTGGGCTTCCTGTTTTCTTCTTTTCTCCTCCAGAGATGGCACAGAAGACAGCAATGTATCTGAGGTTTCTCCCACTGCTGGACTTTACATCTATTTTGCTTGATTTTTCCAACTCCTCCATGAAAAAAAAAGACCTCATCTACATTGTAGACAAGGAAGCACTTAGTCTAAGCAGTTATTTTCTACTTTTTAAAAAGTCCTTTCACCTAGAAAATGACAAGAATGGTGTTCAAAGCATGTCTTTTGGCCTCCAAAATTAGAAACGTAGATTTCAGAGCTCCACATCCCAGATGTGCTGTGTGAGACACCCAGGGGTGGGGCCAGGACTTGTGCTTTAAGGGATCAGCCCAGGTCCCAGTGTCACGTGGTGTTCCCTCTACACTGCCCAAACGTGGCAGGAGAGAGCCCACACTTTTCTCAGTCTCCCCAAAGAGTAGCCCATGCATTCAGCTGTGTCCTGACTTGAACCTCAATTTGTCATGTTACTTTCCTACACCTGAAAGCAGTGTGTGTGTGTGTGTGTGTGTGTGTGTGTGTGTGTGTGTGTGTGTGTTTAAAGTGCTACCTTTTGGGACTGGCGAGATAGCTCAGTGGACTAAGTGCCTGCCCAAGCAAGTGCAGGGAGTGGGTTTGATCCCTGGCGTCACATGCCACGCTGCCCCAAACCCTGGGTGCACTGCGCTGGCCAGAATTCAGGTGTAGTGGCACATACTCATAATCCCAGCACTGGGGAGGCTGAAAGCAGGAGGATCACTGAGTCTGAGTTGCATAGTGAGACCCTACACCAACCAAATACATTAAGAGAAAGAAAGAAAGAAAGAAAGAAAGAAAGAAAGAAAGAAAGAAAGAAAGAAAAAAAGAAAGAAAGAAAGAAAGAAAGAAAGAAAGAAAGAAAGAAAGAGGTACTTTGAAAAAAAAATAAGGCAAATATTTAGCATTCACTTCTACAACCAGCCAAGGTACATAGTTTAAAAATAAAAATTAAAAAAAAAAAAAACTTAGATTTTCAGGAACAAAGCTTTGCAGCTGTTCCTGTTCTCCCTCTGGCTTCCCAGGGATGGCTGAGGCCCTGGTCTGTCATGGAGAGTGAGCAGGTGTTCTGTGGTCACTGTGAGTGCTCTGTACTTGTCTATATCTTATGTGCCAACCACAGGAGCATGGAAGCCAGTGCAGGTGAGAGCCCTGGATGCCTGGTGTACGTGCCCTCCCATCTGTCGGGGAGAGGCACCGAGGGCCGATTGTGCATGTGGATGCAGCCCAAGCCCTGAGCATCTCACCTTCTGAGCTGTGAGGAGGTCAGACCTCTTGTAAACCACTTGAGCTCTCAATCCCAGCGTTTTGTCATCACTGCGACTCTGGACGGAGGATGACATGGCAGCCCTGGTGTCAGTGGGGTTCCCCGTTCAGCCTTTGCAAAGAGCTCCCAGTCACTAACCTTCCACTCTCATCCGCTCAGCCCCCTCACTCTGCCTGCTTCTGCGAGGCAGCGCTGCATCTGGAGCGGTGCGGTCATGCAGGCCTGCGCGGTGCCCTCTGGGCTGGGAAGGCTTTCTCACAGCTATTTCTCTTTCTGCTTTTCCACGCATGGCATTACACAAGCCAAACAATGTTGCGCATCACAACAACATAGAAGATTCCCCAAGATTTTCACACATGTACAGCTTTGCAAGTTAATTAGCATTCTCATTTGTGCGTGAGTCTATATTTATCTCATGTCGTGTTCTTATTTTCTGACCCTTATCCAATTATTTAATTTATGCTCTCACTTGCAGATGCTTGATTGTTATCTCTGTAACTGAGTCTTCATTTAATGGCTACCAGATCAGGAGGAGTCTTTGTGCTTCCGGGTTCCCCAGAGCTGCTTTGTTAGAACACTGTGTGCTGAATCCCATGCTGGTCCTGGCTGCCACAGTGCGCACCACAGCTCTGCTTGGCCTGGAAGCCAGGGAGAGCAGTGTACCTCGATTAGGAATGGAGTTCAGCCCTAAATATATCCAACCAGAAGAACCAAGCTCTAGCATTCTTCAGAAGAGTAGGGTGACTGCTGCTATCCTCATTGCCGGCACAAAATGACTGACTCCAGAAGCAAAGGGGAGAAGACTTACCTCAGCTCACAGTTTGTAGACATTTCTGTCCATGTTCAGCTGGTTCCCTGGCCAGTGGCACAGCCAAGGAGCATCAGAGTGGAGAAACAGTCTATGGTAAGGCAAGCAGCAGGCAGCAAGCAGCAAGCAGCAGGCAGTAGCCCACCTTTCCCTTAATCACATCCAGGCTACAAGCCTTTGGGTGTACCAATGTCCTGGATGGGGCTTCCATCTTCAGTAAATTGATTCAGCACAGCCAGATCTATGCTAATTCAAACTGGTGGGCTACTTTTGTGCTATAAATCCTTAATCCCAGTATCCTATGCACTACATCTACCGGCTACAAAAAGATCCACCTATGCCCACATGAGGATTTCAGAGGATATTTAGATACCAGCTGTAACAGGGACCCTAAAGAGCTAGGAGAGGAGAGGCCAAAGGTCTGCGACCAAAAGCTGCTAATGATTTGAAGATATTCATGCCTAACCCCAGGGTTCCACCACTGCATACCACACCCATGCATAGAATTATCTCCCTGCATCCATAAGTGTGTAGTTATCATGTGCAAGTGAAACGCTAAAAATGCCAATGTTTAAAAATATTTCCAAGAGGCTAAAATTTTAGTTGTTGAAGGAGTAAAAGACTCAGGTTCTAACTTTATTGTCCACATGGATATAAACTATGAGTCGTTCAAGTATGAAATAATAAATGGCCTAGAAGTAAAAACAAATAAAAAGCAACAAGAACCATCATCATCAACAACAACCGCCAAGAGCAGCGAGCCTGGCACAGCAGACCAGCACGCCCAGGGTGGAACCCCAGTGCCCGACCTGGCACGTGTGTGAGTGAGCTCACTGTACACTACAATTTTGATAGTGATCCCGCTTTTACACTGATTAAAAAAATTCAAAACCAGAGTGACGAAGCCTCCAGTGTCCTGACAGCCTTCATCTCCGGGCTGCCAGCAGCTTCTAGACCTCTCTAGAAACTCCTGAGGAGGAAAGCTCAGCACTAGATGGCAGCAGTGCCCCACGGTTGTCTGCCCAAGCGCCAGAGCTCTTGAGGGTGGACTGCAACATTCACTCCCAGCACAGCCAGATTGTACCTTGGCCTATCTCACTGAATGGCTGTTCCCACCCTGCTCCTACTCAGGACCGTGAAGCCACTCACCTGGAACTCTTGCAGCTCCTTATGATATGATGTGACTCAAGACAGTGTCTGGAGTGGCTTCTGGTTATTGCAACCTGTGTTGCCCAGTGAGTTGAATCAAATCTGTTCTATGGGCCATGGGAAGGTGGCAAGGAGTCCTTTGAGCATGTCAGGATGAGGGAGGAGCTGAAGGCGAGCACGGGAGACCATCATTGGGTGACGATGGCTGGTTTCCTGAGGGACACTCAACAGCTTCCAATTAGGATCCTAATAGCCCAGAAGTCATCTACGAGTCGTGCAGCCCAGGACAGTTAGATTTTGGAAACGTTTTCTAATGACAGAAATCCTTCTTGGTGACACAAGTCATTAGGAATGGCAGTGCAGACAGGACACTTTCTCAGGGAGAAGTCAGCTCTTTAGCTCCTGAAGGATATCAATTTTTCCTGATGAGCTCGAGTGAACTATTGGAGCACTTAATGGGTCTTTTTTTAAAAAAGCATTTTTGTTCACTTGCTGAATTACAGATACCATCTGGGTCCTGACTTAAAATCACAGAGGGGTGACCCATCCTCCATGTGCCTGGTTCTGCCTAAGGAACAGAAGCCATGGCTTCCCCCTGGCAAGTGCTGATTTTTCCCAGGCTTTTCTGTTTTCCTAGTCTCTCTGCAAGAATAACAGAGGAGAAAAGAAAATTCCGCCCTTGGCCCACCCAGGTCACTTCTGCGGAGTCCAGCCCCCCTCAGAGCGCTGTGCAGGGGCTGCAAGGCCCTTGGTGAGCTGTGCTGGGGCATCTCAAGACTGTAGCCTCCCTTCCCCTGCCTTTCTGGCTTCACTGCTGAGCTCTCATAATGAAAGGGCCACACGGAGCAGGCAGAATGATCTCAGAAGGTGAGACTGCTAGGCCCTCCTTCTCCCGCAGCAGCAGAGGAAATGCAGGTGCAGGGAGGCAGCCAGGGCCAGCGCTCACCGTGGCTCCGTCCACCCTACCAGCTAGAGCCCCAGGGAGGGAGCTCCGAGCAGGCAAGCAAGCAGCTGTGCTGTGCCACTGGATGCAGAAACGTGCAGAGCTTGGTCACATCCTCCTCGAAAGGGGCCTGTGGTTCCCACCTTCTGAGCTGACCACGATCCTGTGCTGGCCTAAGTGAGCCAGGCACTCAGGCAGGGCATTGGTACCTGCGCTGGGTGATTCCTGTTGGGTGTGGCCTCTCTGTGCTGGCTTTCTGACCCTACACGTGGGTCAGGAGAGCCTGGGCCTCTTCTCAGGAGCCCTCTGATCCCTGGATTCTGTGCTCTGCTTCCCTGTGTGCACCTTCCTGGTGGCGCTCCCAGCCAGAACACCATGCCAGGGTCTAATTTCATGGAGAACTGAAGTTCCTGCTTGGATGATCCTAACCCAGACCTAAGTGAGGAAACGGGGCCTTCAGCCCCCCCCCACCCCCCCGCACCCAGTTACAGATAATGCCCCAAATGCACGAGGCCCCTCTCCCCAGGCAGAGCGCTGCCCTTCCTTCCACCTGCATTTCTTTCCCAAGTTACGCAGGGGCTTCACTCTGCTCAGCAAAGAGGAAGAGATCGATCCATGGAGGCCGGCCAGCCCGTGCCCCCGCAGAGCCCAGCCCGCCCGAGTCGCCGCTCGCATGGTTTCTCCCGCGTGCGCGGCGTGGGCTTCCCCCGCCCGGCGCCCAACAAGTCTCCTTCGTCCAAGCTGCGCGCTGACGCGGGGCCGAGCAAGCGAGCGGGGGAGCGAGCGCGGGGAGCCCCAAGCCCCGGCCGGCTGCATCTGGGATTGCGCCGAGCCCAGCCTCGGTCCCCTCTCTGTGGGTAGGGATGGTTGAGTCCAGCCGCCGCGGCAGCGGCTCCTTGCGCCTCTAGCAGCCGTCTTCTGCGCTCCCCGCCTTCCTTCCCTCGCAGCCCCGCTCTGCGCCCGCCCCTCCCGCGTCTCCCACTCGCGGGCGCGCTCTCCAGCTGCCTCCGCTCCGCTCCGCTCCCCGCCTCCCTCCCGCAGCCTCGCCGCCGCGGTGCCTTCCTGCCCGGCTCGGCCGGCCCCGCCGCCCGCTCTCGGCCCGGAGCGGCTCAGCCCTGCAGTGGCTCGGGACCGATGCTAGGAGAGGGACGCGAGCCGGGCGCCGAGAGCTGCAGGAGGCGTCGGATGCGCGGCCGGCGGCGTCGGGACCGGGATCGCTCTCCGGCTCGCCTTGCCCTCCGGTGATTCTCGGCTGCGTCCGCGGCAGCGCCGCGCCTCCCGGAGCAGCCCGGCGTCGCGCGTGGAGGAGCCGCAGACATGACTGCGCGGAGGAGAGGCGAGGCGCCGCTGCTGCTCCTGCTGCCGGCCGCTCTGTGTGCCGGTCTCCTCGCCGCAGCAAACGGTAAGCGGCTCGCGGGGTTGGGGGAGAGCGCGGAGGCCCGGGCCGCGGTCGCGGTCGCGGTCGCGCGCGGGCTGGCTGGGGAGGGCAGGAACCGCGCGCCGGCAGCGCCGCGTTCTCCACCGCCCGGGAAGGAGCCCAGCGGCCCCCGCCGCTGAGCCCAGTGCTCGGCTACGGGAGACGCCGCTCTCCTCCCTCGCTTTTCCTCTTCTCGGGAGGACCGAGCCCGACCCGACTCGGCTGTAGCTGCGCCCCGACAGGGCTGCGCTGCCTCGGCCGAGACGCGGAGGCTGGGGCCCGGGCCGGGGCCGGGAGTTCCAGGACTTCGTCTGGGCCCGCGCACCTGGCGAGCTGGCCTTCCAAGTTCGGGTTCCCAGGGGGCTCGGGCACCCAGAGGCAGCGCTCACCGGGCCGACTCCCAGCACCCTCGCGCCCGTCTTCCGATCCTCCCTGCCCGCCTCCCACCTCCCGGAGCAACGGGAACCACCCTGCGATGTCGCCCTCGCCTCGCCTCGCCCCAGACTTTGCTCCCCGCAAGTTCTTAGGAGCTGGCCAGGGGCAAAAGGCAGCCAGGGAGATCCGGCCGCGCGTCCACGCCAGCAATATTTGCCTGGACCCCCAGAACCCAACCCGCTCAGGCCAGGGGCCCCTCGAGGTGTCCTAGGGGTTGAGGCTCTGTGAATTCGGTTTTCTCCTTGACATGAGTTGAGCCATGTTTTCCCCTCCCTACCCCACGGGCAGCATCCTGGGCGCTGGACACAGCTGGAGGGGAGGAGGAGGGAGAAGGGGGAGGTGGAGAGTGAATGGTGACCCCTGTTCAGCTTGGACCGCGGCTGCCCTGCGTCCTCATCCTGCCCTCCTCTGTGCTGCTGCCTCGGTCCTAAGGTCCTAAGGCTCCGAGCTTCGGGAGCCTGTGTGCACATTTGTCGTGACTCCCTGTGAAGGATGGGCTCAAATCTTAGGAGCTTGGTGACAGTCATCTGCTTGGTTGGTCCCCACATGAAATGCTTGCTCCCTTCCCCTCCGGACTCTTCTGCGTTTTCCCCATTTTCTGTTCGTCCAGTGGTCTCCATTCCAGAGGATGGAGAAGGCGAAGGTGGATTCGGTCTGCTGCGTGAACTCCACACGGGCCTGGAGAGGAGCAGGGTGGCATGGCCCGGACTGGTCGCCATCTGGGAACCTAGGACAGAACGATAGGTGGCCCGGGGCGCCGGCGCTCCCCTGCTTCTGCCCTCAGCCTCGTGTCTAGGGGAGGCTCCCCAAGAGCCTAAGGGAGCTTCACGGGTGGGTGTCAATCCCCAGAAACCGGGATCCCCAGGGCTGGGCTGGGGCGCCTCCCACGGACACATCCTCTGCCCCCTGCCCGCTTGGTGTACGCGTCCTGCGGATCCACTGGCCGCGAAGGCGCCACTGGCTGAGCAGGGCCTGAAGGGCAGGGGCCTCTGCTCGCCCTGGGTCAGCTGGAAATTGAGGGGCGACTCAGAGAAAGCCCAGAACAAGGAAGGCTGTGCCATGGGAGAGGCGCCTGCCTTGCGTCTGGGGGGTGCGGGGAAGGGTTGGGGACAGGACCAGGCTTGGCCCAGCAGAGCCCTTGCTGAAGAGGAAACACCTGCCACCCGCAACTCTGGAAAACTTCCCGCCAGTGCCCACACCCCAGTCTCTCCAGGCCGGCTGCCGCCTGCCCAGCAGGCAGCTGGGCTCCAGAGCTTTGGGTTTCCCCAGTGCCAGGAGCCCCAACTCCTTTTCCCGCAATTGTAGAGGTGGCTGCGTGGAGGCGCGGCGGCCCAGGCTCTGCTGTTTAATAATCTGCACACGTGTGAGCCGGGCGGATTCCGCCCCCACGCGGGTGGGCTGCTGCGCCAGCTCGGGCGCAGGCTGGGCGAGGTCGTGGAGGGGCTGGCTGTGGGCGGGGGCCGCTCCGGACCTGGACACAAACTCCCGGGCGCCCCGTAGGGCAGCCTTGAAGCGGAGCCCGCCGATGCTCGTGTGGGACCCCAGATTTAGGCGGTGTGGCCAAGAAGTGGAGCCTAAGGTCGGTCCCAGGCCCTGAGCGGTGCGGGAGCCCGGGGCGCGCGCGCACTCGCGCGGAGAGGGATCTGGACTCTGGGTCCCTGCGCTCACTGCGCTATTGTCTGGGCCCACGCGCGCCGCTGTTTCCTTAACCCCAGCGGGGCCGAACCCTCGTGTCCTCTGCGCGCGCGAGGACAGGTGCAAGCGCGAGGCCGGTGACGCCAGCGTCCGAGTCGCGGTGTGTGCTCAGACAACTGGAGCGAGGAGGTTCCTTTCCCTTGCCATACAATGGCCGGGTGGCCAAGGTCAGGCCTCTGCCCCGGGCGTTGCCTCTGGGCTCCTGGGCTGGGCTGCGAGGAGGTCTGGGCCGCTCTAGGCGCGTGCGCGCGGCGGGACGCCAGCCCCAGGCAATCGCCAGCCCCGGCAGGGCGCTGTGCACCTGGGAGGCAGCTCGCGCTGTGGCAAAGGCCGGCGCAGAGTTTCGGATAGTGGGGCATCTTCCTGACCTGCTTGCGGAGGCGTGTCGTAAGAAATTGCAAGCTGTGTGACTAAGGTCTCTAGAACAACATCCCGCCGGTGGCCGGTGTACTGTCAGCATTTGCCGGATGTCCTGGGCTCTTCATCACAACGTGGGGAGGACTAGGAATGCGCTGTTGATTTTCTTGTTGATTATGCGCGACGACGTTAGGACCGAGTTCCCCAGAGTGCATATCTCTTTAAAAGCGCCACCTTTTCAGACATTGCTTTAAAGAAAGAGAAAAAGGCACAAAGCATTCTCATCTACTGAATAGGTGGGACAGTTCATTCTGGAGTCCCTGCTCAGACCTGTGCCCTTAATCCAGGCCAATCTGCTGGCTGGCTGGGCAAAGTTTGTTTCTGAACTGCCTCTAGCTTGTGCGCAGCAAGGAGAATGCAAGTGTTGGCAGGTGCTACGGGAAAGCTCGCCTGGCCTGGTCAAAGGCTCCTCACCTGCGCAGAGCTGGAAACCAGAGGGAGGGCCAGAACAGCTTCCATCCGTGGCTGACCTGAAGCACCAGGGAAGAAATTTTCAAGCACAGAGCCGATTTCTGCAGGGTCAAATGCCTCAACCCTCAATGCTTCCAGATTTGGTATCTTACTACCATTAAAAAGAACAAATTCCCCGGCAGCAGAGGAATGCTAGGACCCTTAATTGTTGGTTCCATTCCTTCTTGGTGCGGCCACGGGCTTCACTGTGTCCTGATGAGGCCAGGAAACTCCTCTGACTGAGAGATTTAGGCAGGTGCCCACCTGCATCCACCATGCTCTGAAAAGGTGGAGCATTTCAAGTGCAGCTCTTATCTCTGCTTTAGGGGTTTCCTTAGCAAATCTCTCTCTCTCTCTCTCTCTCTCTCTCTCTCTCTCTCTCTCTCTCTCTCTCTCTGCATTGTCAAGACAGTTACTGTTATTATTAATGTTAACACAACACTGCTCAACTGAAAGCTTTCATGTACTTCGAAGGCGCACGCTTAGTTAGGAGCTTGGGGCTGTAAAGCTTCGGGTATGCAGAGGGGAACGTCTCCTCTGAGGCCACAGGCTTCATAGCTCAGTGGTGGCACAGTGAGTTCTCATGACAGATGCCCAGGCAAGGAGGCGGCAGGTAGCCTCAGGTGGTCTGCTTCCCCCAAGTCTCCATCACCTGTGCTCAGGACGCCTCCAAGGAGAGGGTTGGCTATTTTTATCCTGGCCTTCAGCTGACTGGTCGTGCTTGGTAAGGAGAGGGCCACAGCTGGCCTGCAAAGTTCCTCTAGGCAATACAGCCCAGGGCTGGGGGCAGCGCTTCCTTAGGCTCCAGTATGTCTCAAACAAACACCAACAGGAGCTTTGAAAATGTCAAGAAAATGGTTCTGCTTCCTTTAAGAAGTAGATAAACAGTGGCTCAGTGGCCACTTAGTGTTTGTTGCAGGAGATTCAGCAAATCCGGCACAGACATCCCTAAGCTTATCAAATGCAGATGGCATATTAAACAGTGCAGGCACTGCTGAATTATGAATGTGCTACTGCTAACTTACCCCCCCATAATCAAAGTAAGTCTCTAGAATGCACCCGCATTGCATTTGTGCCACGCTCCTCTTTGGCTTTTTCTACTGTTTGGAGTGCTTCCTTGTGTAAGGTAACTAAATCTTGTGGATGGTCCTTGTGCAGAGAAGATGACAAAACTGTGACTTCTTTGATTCTGATTAGACCTCAAGGGCTGATGTAACACATAAGATACCTGAAAGTTCAGGGATTCTGCAGCCCCTGTATCTGCGCCTTGGAGTTTGCAGAGGGTATTGGAGATCTGTTGACTCCAAGGCCTGGAGAAGAGGAACTTGGACTTGGAGAGCAGGATTGGGAACAGTCAAATCAGACTGATCCGGCATAGTGCTTTGGCCAACATGGAGACCAGAACCAGTGGGATGAGGCTGGGTGTGGCTCTTGAGACAAGGAAGTAAACATTGTGGCTGCGAAGACCCGACAGGATCCTGGAGGAGATCCACCCTCTGGTATTGCCTTCAGCTCCTACTTCATGTAGATCTCTGGATATCTTTTCCAAAACAGCCTGTCAGTATGCAAACCAAGAAATCTCGTTTAGCCATCAAGGCCTCGGTGCATGTGAGCAAGTTTTCCCTACCATGACTTGAGGAGGACCGTAAATGTCCTTGATTTATGGATAGATCTGCACTTAGAGTCCCATGTAGTCCCTACTGTACCATGCAATTAATAATCCCTTCGTGTGAAAGAGGACAGGAGGAAATTATGCAGTTGAGCTGCCTAAATGCATGACTTAGAGGAGTTTTGTAGACATAAAGGACACCTCATTGCCCCCTGCTCCCTAACAAACCAACCTCTTGGGGTGCAGAGCAGAAGGCAGTTCTCCCTTGGAGTCAGCTGTAATATTCTTTAAACCACTCATATCAACCAGGGTCGTTCATATCCAGATGAGTTGCCAGAATTTTCTTCATCCTCAGAAGTCTTCAGTGTAGCTTGGTGGA